AGTTCCGGCTACTCGGAAGGCGGAGGCGGAAGGATCACCGGAGCCCTGCAGGTCGAGGCTGCTGTGGCCGGGAGTGGCCACTGCACTCCAGTCTGTGCGGCAGAGTGAGACTCTAACTCAAAAACTAAATAAATAAATAATAAAGTAAGAAGAAAGAAAGTTAGCTTGAAAGCAATGGCTTGCATAACAAATGTCAGAATACACTTTTTATTCTGTTGTATGTAAAATTCCCGTCACAAGCCAAGCACTATTTGTTGTGTTCATGTTTGTTTGTTGGGGACAGGTGTTACTGGTTAAAGCGATTCTCTAAACAGTATTGCACAGATTTTAATCATCCATGATTTTGGGGGGCTGGGGAAACTTATTTTCCAGGTTGAAGCACTCAATAAGTTAAAAACTTTAAACAGTTTGATCAAACTGAATGCAGTGAAGCTAAACAGAGCCAAGGGGAAGGAGGCCATGCACACGTGTCTGAAGCAGAGTGCCTACCGCGAAGCCCTCTCCGACCTGCAGTCGCCGCTGAACCCCTGTGTCATCCTCTCGGAACTCTAGTAAGTGGCCGTCTGTGCCTGGCTCAGCAAGGCTCCCGCGTGCAGGCAAGACTTCCGAGCCATTGCCTTAGGGGGACAGCGGCGGCAAAGTCAGCCCCTGGAGGTGGAATGAAATTAAGGAGAGAAAATTAGAGTCCTCAGAAGCTGTGCTTGCATGCTATAGACTGTATGCCTACCCGCCAGATTACTTTTGGGGTTAGTGAAAGTTCTTACAAATTAACTTCCTTTCAGTTGTATGGAGTTAAATTTATTTTCTATGTTACTGGTTCCTAAGAGTTGAGAATCCTGTATGAGCAAAGTGTTGGAGACTCTAATAAATTATGTACTGATCTACTTTTTTATTTTAAAATGAGATAATGAATGAATTTGGAAACTTATTGTTTACTTTATCACTTCCTATAAGAGTAATAATGGAAAAGTAACAATGTGTATTCAGTATAGTATCAGTATTCAAACTCGATCCCTCTTTAAGAAATCAAGAATGATCACATAATATTCCAAATGTCATTGCAGTTATGTGTTCCAGTTTTTAGTTTTTTGTCTTTTGTTTTGAGTTGGAGTCTCATTCTTTTGCCCAGGCTGGAGTGCAGTGACATGCTTACGACTACCACAGCCTCGACCTACTGGGATGTTCCAGTTTTTAAATTCACTAAGTATGATGTAAAGTTAAGGAAATGAGCGCTCCACTTTTAAGTAGAGCTAGTGGAAAGGACGACCTTGGGTTTTGAGCCCTGCCCATCTGGGTTCAGTACATGCCACAAGGCTGTCCTCACAGTTGCTTTTCTACCAAGAGGGAATTTTCTAGCTCTGACATCTACAGACCTGAAAGGAACAGGTGAGGGGTTCTCCCGAGCCTAGAATATCAGGATAAAATTACAGTCATGTATATCATTACATTGAAGTTGGCTGATTTTTTTTTCCCCTTGTTTGATTTCAGTGTTGAAAAGTGCAAATACATGGATTCAAAGATGAAGCCTTTGTGGCTGGTGTACACCAATAAGGTGTTTGGGGAGGATTCGGTGGGAGTGATTTTTAAAAATGGCGATGGTGAGTCCTGAGGTTCTAGTAAACCCTCCCTTTCTTCCCCTCACAAAATGCAAAGTCCTTCACTCCTTTGATGAAAAGCTTGTGCAGAATGAGAATATTTTCAACCATATTTTACACATTTAAACAAAAGCCCTACTTTCTATTTTAGTGCAAGCAATATTGATTTTGCTGCCATGGTTTTGTATTTTCATGAAAATGTGACTGACCCAAAACTTACACAGAAACTGCTCCTGAAGGGATCACATCCACCAAAAGGCAGCCATGGGGTGCAGTCTTGTGACTACCAAGAAGGCATGAAAACGAGTTATAGCACCTGTATGCCAGGGTCCTGGGAAGGAATGAAGTTGGAGCACATGCGGCAATGTGCTGACAGTTAGAAAGAACCCAGTGTTGTGCCACATGTTGAATACCACCCGACCAGACAAGTGTCATGACAAGTGTCATGACATGGGTGTCACTGCGTTCACATACTCTGCTCCTTGAAAACCCCCCTGGAGGTGACCACACACAAATTCAACCATTGCAGTTTTAGAGACTCATGATGCAGTTTCTTTTTTATTTATATTTTTGAGTTGGAGTCTCACTGTCGTCCAGGCTGGAGTGCGGTGGCATGCTCACAGTCACCCCAGTGTCAACCTGCTCGGCTCCCACTATCCTTCTGCTTCAGCCTTCCGAGTAGCTGGAACTACAGGCGCGCACTACGCTCGGCTAATTTTTTTTGGTTTATTGTAGAGATGAGGTCTTGCCAAGTTGCCCAGGCGGGTCTTGAACCCTCAGGCTCAGGCAGTTCACTCACCTCGGCCTCTCAAAGCATGGGATTACAGGCTGAGCCACTGAGCCCGGCTCCAGCTAACTTTTAAATTCCCCGGGCTGGTTTTGAACCCACGGACTCAGGCGATCCACTCGCCTCGGCCTCCCAAAGTGCTGGGATGACAGGCTGAGCCACCGAGCCCAGCCATGATGCAGTTTCTTATGTGATTCTTAAGTGCTCCCTGTGCAGCCCTGAAAGCAAACAAGAAGGAGGAAATCAATCATGTCATGTAATATACATGCAATGTATGCAAACAGTTTTGCCACATCCGTGTAATTAGTGTGGTAGTGCACATACACAGTAAACAACTAAAATTTTTTTTTACTTAATTTCTGAAATAATGTTACAGGGACATGCTCACCACGGAGCCTAATATTTGATATAGTGAATGTGGCCCACATGAGCATTCTGGGAAAAATCATCACCACGTATATGAATGATTTTAGTGAATTCCGACCGATTGGTTAACCTCGAGGGGGCTGCCAGCCGTAACAGAGACAGCACTTACAATGAAGCACTTTCCCCCTAGACTTACGGCAGGACATGTTGACACTGCAGATGCTGCGCTTGATGGATTTACTCTGGAAAGAAGCTGGTTTGGACCTTCGGTGAGATTTCCAGCGAATGTCTCTCTTTATGTATTCTGTTTTATGTTGCATTCCCGTAGAGCAAAATTTCTAGAACTCCTTATTGATTCCATCCCTGCTGCTGCTGTTATCAGTTGCTGTTCATAACCCTGTTTACATAGCACTTTACATCGTACTTTTAATTAAATACGCTTTTTTATCTAAACCGTATCAAGTTCAGAACTGTACATGTGACTGAGGTCTGGTGAAGGTGAAAACAGGTCTGAACCCTGATGGGCCTGGGCAGACAATGCAGTGAAATCCACAAGCAACGCCACACAAAGGGTACTGCTGCCTCCAGACACTTAGTGCCGTGGCTTACACTTGGCAGAGAGTCCCGCGTCGACCCCTGGCTGTGAAGAGCGCCCGTGGGTCGTGGCAGTGGCAAGGCCAGACAAGGGCCCCGCCTCTCGGCGCTCAGCCCGGGACACTCCGTCCGCTGCCCGGGAAAGGGAGGAGAACGATGAGGCGGGCCTCCAGGTCTTTAGCTTGCCGTTATCAGCGGGGTGAGTGCGAGCAGGAGAACAGTTTCTGGGGTGGCGACAGACAAAAGGAAACAGTCAAGCACAGACTGGGGTTTATTTTCGCAGCTCACACGAGTCACCATGACGGTGGGCTACTGGTTGTCAAGGCTACCACCTAACTGGGAAGGAGGGTGAGACTAAGCCTTGGTAAAACAAAACAGACTCACCTGTGTCTTTTTTTTCTTTTCTTTTTTTGATAAACACTCCCTGGATTATTGCAAGCCTTGGTTGTATTTCCAGAGTTCTAAAATAGTTCACTCTGGCTGGGCACAGTGGCTCAGGCCTGCAATCTCAGTTTGGGAGACCAAAATAGGAAGATGACTTGAGCCCAGGAGTTTGAGGCCAGCCTGGGCAGCGTAGCAAGACATCATCTCTACAAGAAATTCAAAACTTCAGCCAGGCGTGGTGGTGTGCGCCTGAAGTTCCAGCTGAGCTTGATACAGGCTGGAGTGAGACTTCGACTCAAAAATTATAATACGTTTTTGCCAGTATTCTTGTTGCTTTTATGAAAGAGTGGATTTTCAGTGGTTCTTACTACCGTTTTTGCTGATTTTATGTAGCTACAGAATTTTAAAATCTAAATTGACTGCTTTACTCAGAAGCCTTGAAGATATTATTCCATTGTCTTTTGGCTTCTGTTTTTTGTTTGTCTGTTTTTAAGATTACTATCACACCTGTTACTGTTTCCTTGTAAGTAATCTATCTTTTTTATACCTCATTGTATCAAAAAATTCTCTTTGCCTTTGTTGTCTACACTATGTCCTGTCTGTGTATGGATTTTTTTGTATTTATGTGTTTCCTTTACCATTCTCATTGTGCCTTTTTAATCAGAGAAGTCACACTTTTTAGTTTCTAAAAAATTTGAACATTTTATTCAGTAAGTCTCCTGCTGTCCCTTTCTGTAGCTCTGGTAGATATATATCAGACTTTCCTCTTCTCTTGCATATATCTTAGCCTATCTTTTATATTTTCTACCATTTTATATTTTTATGTGACCTTCTTAGTAGTTTCCTACTCTGTTTTCCAGTTGCCTGATTATCTCTTCAACAGTATCTAATCTCTTGTTTATTCTCTATGTCTTTGTTTTTTTCCCCCTTATCATCTCTATTCCCTTTCATCTCTTTCATCATTTTTATTTTTGTGAGTTGGAGTTTCACTCTGTCACCCAGGCTGGGATGCAGTGGCACACTCATGGCCACCCCAGCATCGACATGCTGGGCTCCAGCGATCTTTCTGCCTCAACCTTCCAAGTAGCCAGAACTACAGGCATGCACTACCATGCCTGGCTAACTATTTATTTTTTTATTGTAGAGACAAGGTCTTGCCAAGTTGCCCAGGCTGCTCTCGAACCTGCAGGCTCAAGCAGTCCACTCGCCTTGGACTCCCAAAGTGCTGGGATTACAGGCTGAGCCACCAAGCCTGGCTTCTTTCATGATTTTAATGTCTCTTTCATATTGTTCTATTTTAGTTCTCAGAATGTCACATTTTCATTTATCTGCTTAGTCTTACTCATTTCCTTAAACAGTTAATAATAATCAGTTTTGAATTTATTATTGATGGATATGATGTTTTTTTGTGAACATCCTTTGCTCCCTAGGTTGTGAAAATATCCTGAAAAATAAGTTTATATTTTGTACTGTGACAAATGGTCTGTATGTGCAACCAGTTTTCATATTTATTCCTTGTCTTCAGGCCCTCACATCTCATTGATAATTTATATTTGGATCTTATAGGACAGTGTAGACATATTTGCAATTACATTAAACCCTTTTTTTTTCCCTTGCCTATTCATTTCCTAGGGTAGATGGAAAACTTTCATGCTGGGTTATCAGTTGAGTAAACAGATATTTTCAAGTTCCAGACCTCCCAGACCCTCACTTTTATGTAGCATCTTAAGTCCAGATCCTGCTTCAGGGACCCAAAACCATGACTCTCTCTCTCTTTTTTTTTTTTTTTTTTTTGGTGTAGGCATTGAAATGTTAGCTGAGCTAGTACATCTTGGGCCCCTACTTTGAGTATTCTCATATTTCTAAAACCCAGAGGTCTCCTTTATTTCTGTTTATTATGTATTTATTTATTGTTTGAGTCAGAGTCTCACTCTGTTGTCCAGGCTGGAGTGCGTGGCACAGTCATGACTCACTGCAGCATTGACCTCCTGGGCTCAGGAAGTCCTTCCACCTCAGCCTCTTGAGTAGCTGGGACTACAGGCATGCACCACCACACCTGACTAATTTTTAAAATTTTTTGTGGATAAGAGGTCTCACTTTGTGGCCCAGGCTACTCCTGGACTCGAGCAGTGCTCCTGCCTCAGCCTCCCAAAGTGCTGGGATTACAGGCATGAGCCAACATACCCAGCTTTCTTTCTTTTTAAGACATAACTATTTATAAACTTTGACTGTATCATTTTTATGGCTTAGTATCCACAGGAACTTAGGTACTGAGTCCACAAGGTTGATGAAACCAGTTAGACTTGTTATGGCCTCTATCCCTGCAAGATTAAAAGTATTTCCTGGTTAATTTTTAAAGTTTGAATTATGGTCTGCTCATCATCAAACGTATTCTTTTCAAACTTGATGGCCAGATGTTGTGATATGCTACCTAGGAGGCCGAGGTAGGAGGGCCCTTTGAGCCCAGGAGTTCAAGGTTTCAGTGAGCCATGATCACACCACTGCACTCCAGCCCAGGCGGCAAAGCTCTTTAATGGAGAGAAACTTGAAGCAGTTGCTGTTTGTTGACCGAAGGAGGCACTACATTAGCGTCTGCCCTTGTGCAGCGTCGTGTAAGCGAAACGACTCCAGGAGGTTAGGGTGTTTCTTTTTAACACGGGGGACAATCAAGACACTGGGGTTTTTAAACAAAGGTTACAGAAATATTACGTATCATGCTAAGTTCCAATCCGGAAGTGTCAGGCTCTAGTTAATGTCTTTCTGCTATTGTACCATCTGTCTCAGAGGTGAAACAGGTCTGCAGCCCTCTGTTCGTCAAAGCATGATGGTGCTGCGATACCCGGCTTTCCTTTTTCTGTTGAGGTTCTTCCAGGGTGCACTTCCCAGTGCTGTCCAGATGGCAAGAGCCATTGCTGTGGGTGCGGTTCCTTTACTGGGATTGTAGCTGTGTGAGTGGCGTCAGGAAGGGGGGTCAGAATTCGTCTGGAAAGGATACTGGCTGCCATGAGGGACGGCTCTTTTTCCTTTAAATTATGTAGAATTTCTCATCGTGCTGTGTAAACATAGAATTACGAGCTCTGATAGTTCAGTGGCTCCTGTGTCAAGCCAGCCCACAGTACTATGTTTGTACTGGACTGATCCCACAGAAAGGAGGGCAGCATCCAGCGTGGGATCGAAGGCGTCTGTTCTCTCCAGGGGGAGTACCCCCGTAGACGGGGTTTCCATACGGTGGCAGCCGCAGGCACGGAGCCTCGTTTGGGGAGGAAAGGCGGAACTGAAGACTCGCCTCGCCTCCTTGATCCTTCAGCTGCACCGCTGACCCCAGCCATGTCCTTTCCCTTGGTTTTGCTTTGATTTGCTCGATCTGAGCATCAAGCCCGTTTCGCGGCAGATGAAACCCACTGTGACCCCAGACAATGGGAGGGAGCTGGTGTGGCAGCGCTAGAAATAAACCCGGTGTCCGCCCGGTGGGAGCATTGTGTGTCTGACAAGAGAAGGAACTCGCTGTCCAGGGAGATCTCTGCTGACTTCTTGTACTCTGACCCCACATTTAAAAAAAAGAGTGCAGGCCTTTCTTTTTGAGTTCATTTTCAAACTAATACCTTTTTCTCACCAGCCCTTTTTTTGCTGTTTCTATAAATACGTGTGCCCCAGTGTTCCTACTTGTTTGCTTTTCTTTTGGCCAGCTGTTTAGGTTAAACTGGGTCACGTAGCACACACGCCTTTAAGGTCAATCCCAAACCTTCAGGCACTTTCTGTAAATATCTGTGCTAGCACTTGTGACACTGCCACATGTAGCTCAATTTCATCTTTCACTGATATTTCTAAGGAGTTATTTCATCTTGTTTGTCAGATCAGATCATTTGTTACCTGTCAGTATGTTGGGACTCCCTGACTAGCAAGTTGGAAGGTTTTCTATGTGGAAATCTGGCTGTGTCGATTTTCTTTACAGTTGTCTCCATAAAGGCTTCATGCTAGCGACATTCACTTCCCTTGAAGAGACGCACATAAACGCTGTTTAGTGACACTGGCATTCTTGGAGGGGAGAAGGAAGCATGCGGAAATCACGCCAGCGTCAGGGTGCAGGGTCCCCACTCTCCTCTGGAGGCTGCGGGCTGAGGCTGCTTGGCCTGGGGCTGCCGTGTGTCCCCGTCAGAGCCCGAGCCAGCTGCCGCCTGCCCATTTGGGGCAAGGATGTGGTGGCCCTCCGCACCACGGCGGAACGTCTTTCCTCTTAGGTTCGTGGTTTCGCGTGCACGGGCAGAAAGTCCAAGGAAGGCAGGCCAGCCTTGCTGAAGTGGCTGTCTTGGCGTTCGCGGGATCCAGAGAGGCCAGGCGCGCCAGGGCCCTGGAGGAGGCGGTGGGCTGCGGGAGTGTGTCCCCGGCTTGACTTGTGTCCAGCGCCTTTCTGGCAAGGATGCTTCTTCCTTCCCGTGGTGAGCGTCCCATTCTCCAGGCGCTGCATGTGTCCACCGTCGCCTGCCCCTGGACAGGAAGTTGCTGGCCTTGAGCCCACTGGGGCCGCGAGTGGGCAGGGCGGGGGCCGGAAAGTGAGGCCATGCCCTTTCACTCGGCAGGCTCTGCGCTCCACATGTCGGTGGCGATAAGAGGGAAGCGGCGCCCAAAGCACTGGCACTCCTGGCTGTCTGCTTTAGGGAGGGGTGGGTGCCCAAAAGAAGAAACACACTGATGGTACCGGGCTCTCAGCCTTGTTTTCCCAGAACTAGAAAAGCTTGGTTTTCGTCTGGGAAGAGCACACGTGAGTCGCTAAGGAAAATGCTCCAAACCAGACAGAGGATGTGGACAGCTATTCACAAAAGAAATTCTGTTCTGTTCTTTTTTTTTTTTTTTTTGAGTCCAAGTCCTCTCTCTGTCGCCCAGGTCAGAGTGCCAGTGGTATGCTCACCACCACCCCAGCCTCGACCTGCTGGGTTCAGGAAATTCTTCTACTTCAGCCTTCCAAGGAGTTGGAACTACAGGCATGCGCCACCTTGCCCAGCCAGTGTTCTGATGTATTGTAGAGATGAGGTCTCACCATTGTTGCTCAGGCTGGTCTCAAACCTGTGGGCTCAGACAGTCCTCTCGCTTCCACCTCCCAAAGTGCTGGGATGACAGGCGTGAGCCACTGCACCCAGCTAAGAAATTTTTTAAATGGCCCAAAGAGATCTGAGATCATATTTATCTTCATTAGCATCAAATAATTGCAAGCCCAAAGCAAAATGCCGGCTCTCACTTTAGCAGCAATTATGTTCATCGAAAATCTGTGTGATGGAGGGGATCGGTAGTCACACTCATGTCGGGCTGGTGGGCGTGTCCATTCTCCTCTTTCTGACAGACTGTCAGCCCCGTCTGAATGTCCAGCGGCCCCTTTTACACTTGCTGCTTCCCAGGAGTTTATGGCCCAGTCGAGGAGGTGAGATCTTAGCTCAGGAAACGGGGATCAGCACCAGGCATGGTGACGCGTCTCCATCCAGACCCCGGGGGTGGGAAGCCTGCCACGGGCTTTCTCCACACAGGCCTCCTCTCTGTCTCCACTCACACAGGAAGCGACCTGTCACACAACCAGAGACGTTGTCGGGTGGAAACAAAATGACTTTTCGGCCCCCAGACACGGCGTTCAGCCTTAGGCATTCCTCTTAGTTAAATGTGTGACTTTCCGCAAATTACTTACATCCTGCATTTGAAAAACTGGACACTGCCTCGTAAGGATTTTGTTATTCAATGTGTTTGCGGATTCAGAAATACTTACTGAGCACTTACTTGGGGCCAGGCACATTCTCCAGCACCAGGATTTCAGTGGTGATTAGAACACCCACGCCTGGTGGAACTTGGTCCCACCGGTGGGGACAGACAGATGCACAAGATGTTGGCTAGCGTTGAGGTCTGCACGAGGAGAGCCACACAGGGGAGGGATGGGAGCCCGGGTCGGAGGTGGTGTTGCAGTACTATGCTGGGTGATCCAGGCAGTGTCCACGGAGACAGCGGCGTTTCAGCAGACTTCCAAGAGGCAAAGGAGGCAGCCACGCAGGTGTCTTGGGGAAGAAGGTTCCCAGCAGAGAAGGCCACATGCCTGGGGGAGGAAGGGAGTGCTCTGCCTGATGTCCTGACGTGTCGGAGGAGCAGTGAGGAGGCCGGGGCATTGTCAGCTGCAGCGAGTTTGTTGGCTTCACCGTAGGGTGGGCACCGTGGCAGACGTGTCCATCGGGAGTGGCAGGGGCGCCTTTTAAATGGGTCGTGCTGCGGTTGCATCTGGAACAGGTGCGATGTGGAAGCCAGTTGGCCGGTTAGGAAACTGCTGAGTAAATGAGGCAAGAGGTGATGGCTGGAAGGTCAGTGGAGGAACAGTGGGATTAGAGGACACTGAGGCTCCGAGTGCGTTTCCGAGGCAAAGTTGAGCGCAAGAGAAAGAGAAGAGGCAGAGGCAGCCTTAAGGCGCGGCCTGGGCAAGGGGAAGGGTGGAGTTGCCCGGGGCACAGAGAAAGCGCCTGGCGGAGGACTTGCGGTGTTCCACAAAGGGTGGTTCCTTTCCCCCAAATTCAGAGTGAAACGGAAGGACTCTTCTTGTATCTGATGTGCTTCTGTTCACCTACACAAGCAGACAGAATGTTCCACCAGAGTAACTAATGGCACGTTACATATCTGACTGGCACATTGTAAATTATTCCGTCCGTCCATTGGACTAGAGATTTGTTCCCCAACAGAAGGTAGAACTTGGATTTTCCCATAGGACAAAAACACAGTAATGGCAAGTGGATCAATAATAATGAAACTTTTTTTTAATCAGAGGAACAATCTTACCCACTCAACGTTTCATTTGGAGGAGGATGTGATTGACATGTGCACCCACTGCTTTCCTTTCAGGATGTTGCCTTACGGCTGTTTAGCCACAGGCGACCGCTCCGGCCTCATTGAAGTTGTGAGCACCTCGGAAACAATTGCTGACATTCAGCTGAACAGTAGCAACGTGGCTGCAGCCGCAGCCTTCAACAAAGACGCACTTCTGAACTGGCTTAAAGAATACAATTCTGGGTGAGTTCGTTCTGCTCAAGTGTCATTTTTCTGTATAAACAGCCAAACAAATACTGTATTTTCCTTGTGGAAGTCGTCAGTGTCTTAGAGGAAATATTAATGTTATTTATTGCTTCATTTCACGTCAGAGCATAATGACTCACTGGCCTTCCTGAAATCTCACAGATGGATAACCCTGAATTCTACTTTATCTCAGCAAACTTTAGAGCCCTCGAGCGAAATTACAATCTCAGGATTTAAGTATTTTAAAGATAATGTTGATGTTTTTGTTTAAGTGCGTGCACTTCTGTAATTATGTGAATATATAAACTTCAGCAAGTTTTTAATAGATTTACTTTCTGATAGAAATAAATGAGCATGTAGATTGTAATCTCTCCAAACTAAAAAGAAAAATGCACCCATATAGAGGAAACGAGGGAATATTGTGGTGGGGGAATGTCCTGCACGGGGTTTTGGCTAAAGACTCCAAGTCAGATGCACGTGTTATCCCTGGTAAAATCTGAGGACTCGGAGTGTGGAAGTCGGTTTCCAAGTGTCGATCCAGAGGCCTTGTCTCCAGAGGGTCTGTCCACCTCAGCTCTGGTTGAAGCGGGCGACTTAAACGATAGGGACGTTCATCCATGCCTCTCAAACGTGGCACCTGAGTCACTGGTCAGAACTCACCACAGTGTCCCTGAGCCCAGCGTGACCCAGAGCACCCCTGGCTCCTCTCACTACCGCGCACACGAGCCCACCTCACCCCGCCAAAACCTGGCTCCCTGACACAGGAATGGGCCTGGCTGTGGCCTGGCTGTCCTGTCCCTTGAAGCCAGCTGGCTCCTTCCTGCCCTACCCCCATGGTGACCACCTTCCTCTCCTGGGCTGGCCCAGTGTGTCCTCCCACACGGTGTTGGCAGCTCTGTGCTGCGGTTATTCCCACGTTTAACAAGGAATTGGTGACCACTTATGTCCCTAATCCTGAATTGTACCCCACATCTTTACAATTAAAAGAAGAAGAAGAAGAAAAATCCATCTTTGAGAAACGAGTGATTTCAGACAAAAAAAAAGGAACCAGGGGTATGGTCAGGTCCCACCCTGCACATGTGAAGTCCCCAAACCTTTGTCGCTTCTGCCTGTTTCTGCTGTGCAGGGATGACCTGGACCGAGCCATTGAGGAGTTCACCCTGTCCTGTGCCGGCTACTGTGTAGCTTCTTATGTCCTTGGGATTGGTGACAGACATAGTGACAACATCATGGTCAAGAAAACTGGCCAGGTGAGCTGCTCCCAGGGTCTGCCGAGGGCTCGGCGACGTTACTGCTTGCATGCAGTGAACTCGGGCAGGTTCGACGCTCAGGGTCGAGTCTCTGTCTCTCGTTTCCCTAGCCCTCGATTCACAGACTGCCTGCTACTTCAGTTCACTTGTTTGTTTGCTTCCAGTGAGCTGGTCAGCATTTAAGTGTTTAAAAAATTAACTGAAGAAAGGATTGTCATCGTCTAAAATGGCCTGCTCTTTCGCTGTGAGAAAATGTTCTGGGGACACAGTGTACTGAGCAGAGGGGCAGGTGATGTGCTAGAGGTGTCGATTTTCAAGAAGGCCCCAGGGCTAAGAAAAAAGGCTGTTTTCTCTGTTAGCACATCCGGCCTGAGCACAGGTAGGAGTAGCGGGAATGGCGGAGTGAGTCATGGCGGCTGGGTCCCCGGGGAAGCTGGTGAGGAGTCCCTGGTTTTCACATGGACGTGGCTCTCGTCTCTCAGCGTGACTTGCTTTTTTATAGTAAGCAAAGGCAGGTGAGCTGTCTTAGGTCATCGCTGAGCCACCCTCGGAATTCCCTGCCACTAGAGGTGTGCCAGAATGAAAATCTGTGACCGTGGCTCACGGTGGCACGCGGGGCTTTGTGCCTGCTGGGAGATCCGAGTGGTTCCAACCTGGGCTCTGAGGGTTAAGCCTCGTGTCCACACCGAGAGGGGCTTCCTTGGATTTCGAGTTCAAGTGATTGAGCACTTCGCTAGACCTCCCTTTAACCCAGGGATCAAAGCTGATAGGAAAACAGGCCAGGGTAGGTGAAGCATATCCGCAGACGTGGGGGCGATGGGAAGTGAGGTTGAGACGTGGCCGAGACTCGGGTAGGGCTGAAGTCATGGAAACCCATGTACTTGTAAAAGGCGTGTACGTCTCACAGAAGCACCCGCTGTTGATTGAGGAGGGATGTGGGAAGAGGCTGAAGCTGGACTGGTTTGCGGACTTTTGTTCCTTCTGAGTTGGAGTCTCGCTCTGTGGTCCGGTTGGAGTGCAGTGGCACAGTCACAGCTCGCTGCAGCCTCGACTTCTGGGCTCAGGTGATCCTTCCACCTCAGCCTCCCGAGTAGCTGGGATTACAGGTGCGTGCCTGTAGTAGCCATCGTTTCTGGCTAATTTTAAATTTTCTTGTAGAGACTAGGTCTCGGTATGTTTCCCAGGCTGGGCTCAACCTCCTGGGCTCAAGGGATCTTCCTCCTCTGCCTCCCTAAGTACTGGGTTTATGGGTGTGAGTCACCGCACCCAACTGGCTCGCAGTTTATCTGTGCAGCATTGAGATGCTCAAGTCCTCTTTCCTGTGCCAAGAAGGAGAGAGAAGATTTGTTCTTTGAAGAAACTGATCCGCCTGACTTACGAAGGACGCGTGTTTCTACAGAGGCTGAGGGAGAGGTGCCGTGTTACAAACGGGGATGGCACAGAAGGTGGCCACACACAACAGGGCACAGCCCTCAGTCACTGCCACTCGACTTGCTTCGAGGACCCTGGACCAGGTGACCATCTCCACCCTCAGCCAGAGGCTCAACCAGTCTCTTCAGGAGGATCTGGTTCCAGTTACACGTCTTGTAGGTCCTGACGGTTGCAGTCTTCCCCGTCTCTCCGCAAGGAAATTCGCAAGTCAGCCAGCAAGCCTACCGTGGCGACAGACATTTCATTCAGCTTTTTAGTGACTTGTTGTTACATATGAATGGTCAGCCAAGGCTGAGTGTGCTTTTTTAAATTAATAGGTAAGGCCAGGCGCAGTGGCACAAGCCTGTAATCCCAGCACTTTGGGAGGCCGAGGCCAGAGGATTGCCTGAGCCCAGGGGTTCAAGACCCGCCTGGGCAACTTGGCGAGACCTCATCTCTACAATAAATCAAAAAATTAGCTGGGCATGGTGGCGCGCACCTGTAGTTCCAGCTACTTGAAAGGCTGAGGCGGAAGGCTCGCCAGAGCCCAGTGGGTCGAGGCTACAATGACTGTGAGCATGCCACTGTACTTCAGCCTGGGCGACAGAGTGAGACTCCAACTCAAGAAAAAAAACCTACCGTGCCTTAATATCGCCAAGGACATTTGACATGTAGAAAAAAGGGTTCCGAAGTGGCAGAGGCTGAGTTCAGGAGGCACACCGTCAGTCAGCTGGATGGGAATTCCAGAAGGAGTCAGGGACGAGCGCGGGAGGGCGCCGACTAAGCAAGTCACATGGACGCGCTTCCCAGAGCCGGTGTCACAGACGCCTGCCAGTCCCAGTCGCAAGTGCCCCCAGGGTGGGTGGGCACAGGCAGTCTCATGGAGGCCTCCACGGGGAGATTTCCGGGCGTGCAGCATAACTTGTTCAAAGCCTTCCCAGAGCCACAGGCCACGTGTCAGAGTCTGGGAGTCAGAGTGACTCGGCTTCTCAGTAGCTGCATGGGACGCTCTAAGACAGCGAGAGCCTTCACGGTTTTGAGAGAAAATGATTTCTTTTTTTGAATTTTAATTTTTTTGAATCAGAGTCTCACTCTGTCGCCCATGCTGGAGTGCAGTGGCAATCTCACGGCCACCACAGCCTCGACCCGCTGGGCTCAGGCGATCCTTCTGCCTCAGCCTTCCAAGTAGCTGGAACCACGGTGTGCACCACCAGACCTGGCTGATTCTTTGACTTATTGTGGCGACAAGGCCTCACCAAGTTGCCTGGGCTGGTCTCGAACCCTGGGCTCAGACAATCCTCTCGCCTTGGCCTCCCAAAGTGCTGGGGTGACAGGTGTAAGCCACCGTGCCCAGTGAGAAAATGATTTCTTATCCAGAATTCCGCAGCCCAAATAACCAGTCAAGGATGCAGTCAAGAGCCACTTCCAGCTTGCAGGCCTTGAGCTGCACCCACTCCGCGTTGCTTCTCAGCACTGCCAGGATGAGGCCGCCTTCCCGTGCAAGGGACTCCACCAGGAGCCCTCAGCCTGGTGATTCTCCTCAGGGAAACTCTGTCAGCGTGTGAAGCCATGTGTAGTTTCCGTGACTAGGGGCAGGTAGTCGAGTGGGTAGAGCCAGGGACCTGGTGACCACCCTGGGGTCTGCAGGACAGAACCCTGTGTCAGAGAACTCAGCCCAAATGCCAGCGCCACCAGTGTTGACAAGCTCTCGTCTCAACCAAAAAAAAATGCGATGGGGACTCAGGAAAAGGGGATCCAGGTGGGAGAAGCGACAAGGCTAGGCCCAAGGGGTTGGCTCTGCGGCCAGAGAGGAGCCAGCGGGTGGACCGGCCATCAGGAAGCAGTTTTGAAAGGGACGCGCCGAAGACTTTTTTGTAGAATCTGAAGATGAGTTTGGGAAGAGTTCATGATGAGGTCACAGAACACTAAGCAAAGTGACCGAATGAATGAGTGGATGAATGAATGGAGGCAGTTTTCTTAAGGAAAAAAGATGAACACAAAGGGAAAGTCGTCGTGTGTACTGCAGCCACACGGCTTAGTTTTGAGATATGTTTGCATAATCTGAAAAACATGCAAACTGAGTATTGATTTAGCCAGAAAAGATGACAAAATGGCCACATGTGCATCTTTATGTTCACATAAGTACTAAATCCTTACCCTCACAATAGGAATAGTCATCTAAAGTCAGGAAGCAAAAGAAAGGTGTAAATGTACCATCTAGAAAAATGGAGGCAGATACCAGGAAAAACACAAGAAAGGTTGAGAAGTTACCTCTCACCAGTAGCACTGCTGGTGAGGAAGCCAGTGGGGCAAGACTGTTCTCTTTTTTTATTAAGTTTTATAGACTGATTTGACTTTTTAAAAATCAAACAGTTTTATTATTGGAATTTTTTTTGTTGTCTTTTTTTCCAGAGACACAGTGCCACTACGTTGCCCAGGCTGGTCTCAAACTCCTGGCCTCAGTCTGTCTTCCTGCCTCAGCCTCCCAAAGTGCTGGGATTACAGGCATGAGCCACCATACCTAGCCCTTTATATTTTTATTTTAAAGAGTCTCCTTTCCCAGTATGTATATGCAATTTAGTAGCAGGATTATTATTGATAATACGACCAAGAGTGCTGAAACACTCCATTCCCAGGCGGCTCAGTGGGCAGTGAACATAGGGAGAGGGCTCGGGTGTGGGCGGACACGGTTTGGGGGTCTGGGGCTGTGGAGACCTTGCATTTCTCTTTGGAACCCGCCAGAAAAATGAGGGAAATTAAATCCCATTTGTTTTCCAGCTCTTCCACATCGACTTTGGGCATATTCTTGGAAATTTCAAGTCTAAATTTGGCATCAAAAGGGAGCGAGTGCCTTTTATCCTTACCTATGATTTCATCCATGTCATCCAACAAGGAAAAACCGGAAACACAGAGAAGTTTGGCCGGTGAGTGTGGCCCTCATTTAAAGGCTAAATGCATCGGGCACCCTCTCATCTGACCAGCTGGACGGGCATTTTCCTGGCTGAGGCATATGGGGATCTGGGAGATACCCAGTTGATAACCAGAAGCTCGTGGGGGATTTTCCCATCAGATCCTTGTGCTGGTTCAGGAGTGCTCAGAAAGTAGAAACACAGATTGCTGGGAATTTGCAATGGCTCTATGTTTTTTCCTAGTAGCACACTACCTTTTCCCCGTTCCGCAAAAGTCTCAGAAACCGTTGAGACGTCAGAGAATGGGATGCTGAGAAGACGGGCATTCCGCTGTCCGTGTGCGGAGTACAGGGAGAGAGCAGGGTGGGGGGTGGACTGTCGTCTCCAAACAACTGCTCACTGTCTACATGTTCCCCCACACACCACTTGTCGTCTTTCCTTTGCTTCGTCTTAAAGTGGGGATGGCAGTCGTAAAACTCCAGGGCTGTTGTGGTGACTGAAGGCGGATTATGTGGCCAGCACATGCTGCATGCTTAACAAGTGGTTGCGGCTGTCCTTTCTAGTTCTGACTGGGTTTCTGCGGACTATGCCTCTCTGGGCCCAGTTTTCTCTTAGGCAGAACGAGGAGGGTGAGCTCGCCTGGTCTGGAGGAGGGAAGGCAAGGGGACGGGAGGGAGCAGTTCCGAAGCTCTGATGCCGACTGAGGGGACACTCAGAAGTGAGTCTGGTGTCAGCCACCAGAGAGAAGTCAGAAGGTGCCCCGAAAGCCTCATGGTTCTAACCCTCACTGGCTTCATTGTCAGGTCCCATGTCTCCGAGAATTAAGAAGCCTCGGTTAACAATGAACAAGCGACGGCCTTTTGTCATGGCATTTCTGTCTCGTCTTGTTTTGGGGAAAGATAAGTGTGATTTTAGAGAGGCTGATTCTTTTTGTAAATGTTAGTACTGGCACAGTCTCCGCAGAAGCAAAAATCAGCAGCGGACCTTTAGTTCGGTAGAATGTTCTAGCTCTTGTGGAGAGTCTAGCTGTGTCCTCTCGATGTACGAAATGTTCCGCCCCGATACTGTGCTCACGTGTTCGCTGCATCCACCGAAGGTTCCGCCAGTGCTGCGAGGATGCGTATCTGGTCTTACGGAGGCACGGGAACCTCTTCATCACCCTTTTTGCACTGATGCTGACTGCAGGGCTTCCCGAGCTCACGTCCGTCAAGGATATTCAGTATCTGAAGGTACGCCCCTTTCCTGACACGGGCATCTCGTGGGTGTGGTGCTCCGTGGTGGCGCCTGTTTCATTCCGGTGTCTGAAGAGAGTGGGACAAGGCCGTTTCGTCTGAGGTGGTTCTTAGCCAGAGGGAGGGAGTCTGGGAGCAGCTTGAAGCGGGCGTTTAGAGCCTAACGCTCCTCCTATCAGTAGAAGGGGCAAGACTGGCCCGGGCAGTGCCCTCGAACCACACGCTGGCGGCCACGGATCAGCAGAGGCTGGCGCTCTGATTTTCACACCTGCCGTTCACTTGCCGGGGTCTTTGTGGGTCTTGGGTCATCTTCCTGGGTCTGGCCGGCAGTGGCAAGGAGCCGAGTATGTGTCTAGTAATTATGACGTTGTGAGATTCTTCTCATCCCCAGAAACCCTCTGGCAGAGGCCATGTTATTGCTTCACCTCGTGTTCCCCTCCGGCAGACAAGATGGACGTCAGAACACAGAGCAGGTGTCTGATGTCGGCCAGGGGGCGCGGCCCAGCCAGCCCCGCAGAGCCCGTGGTCTGCTTGTCGCCGCCAAGGAGGTGTAAAACCAGCTGTCTCTTCCCCTTCTGTTTCAGGACTCTCTCGCCCTCGGGAAGAGCGAAGAGGAAGCACTCAAGCAGTTCAAGCAGAAATTTGACGAGGCGCTCAGGGAGAGCTGGACCACGAAGGTGAACTGGATGGCGCACACGGTCCGGAAGGACTACAGGTCCTAGCGACCGGCCTCGGCGCGGACGCACTCGTCGGTCTCGCTTCGTTTTCGTTTTGCACTTGCACTAAGTTGAACACGACCCCGTCGCAGATGTAATAAAGGGAATGAGACCCGGAACTCAGAGTTCCGCGAGAGCGAGGCATCCATAGGACCCCACCGGCACCACCCCTGGCGGCCGTTCTGCCTGTTGCTGCTTCCGAGACTCAGCGTGGAGACTGTCGACGTTACGGATAATCATCTCCTGCTGACTTTGCACGCCAAGGAATGCTACTAGGGACCGTCTTCTGTTTCTGTTTGTTTTTTAGTGGTTGGTACCTGCTCAGAAGGTGTAAATACTTCCTTTCCGTGTTGTGACCAAGCATTATCACTCAGCCAACAACTTATCCACACCCAGGGCTGGTGGCTTTTCTTACATTCTGTGAGGCTGAAGAGAAGAGTCTCCTTCTTCCCTTTTAAAATTGTGTAAACTACAAATTATAATATAATTTGAATCTATGATTATTTTTTAAAAGAATCTTTTAAACCTGTGGAAACTCATTAACTCTTCTGTCACTATTTATCTCCATGATGGCATCGTTCCAGCCAGACTTGCTGAAAAGCTCCTGGTGGGCAAATATAATATATATGAATATGCTGCATCTATATTTATAAGGTTTCTAGTGGGAGTTCTATATATGAAGGTGTTTCTTTGCTGTTCTTCAGCCTGTTTTAAAGTTTTACGAAAAGCAGAGCTTTTTCCCGAGTTACCTTTCGGTTCATAACTGTGTGATCCAGTTCTTCCAGCTGCTTTGTCGCGAGGCACGCACTAATCCCGTTCTCACATGGTGTCTGTGGGAGAGTCCACCTCTTAGAGAATCATACTTGAGCAAACATATCCAAGAGAGCAAGCGGATGGAAAGGAACCTATTTATGGAATCAACTCCAGACCTGAAATCCAGTATTTTAGTAAGATGCCAGCTGTTCTTACTGTATTTATTAAACTTGTAATAATGTGATTTTTTTCAAGGATATTCGTTCAGGTTGCAAAGGCTTCATGCCACACGGACACCTTTAAGTTATTCGTCGAGGTACTGTGCGTTGAGGGTGCTGGGGGCGGATGACGTGTGCAATAGGGCTGCTGGTTGGACGTGTGAGCGGACGCTCTGCTGAGGACAGGCAGGAGCCCACAAGACTACTGCTGATTCTCCAAAGACTGTCAGGAGCTCTTTGTCCTCAGTGGCGTGCGAAAGGGAGCTGAGGGTTCGCCCTGTGACTGAGCTGTCTATAGGAGTTTTATTAAAGACGGTCTAATCTTGTTGTCTTCTCAATGTTCTCAGTCAAATAAATGGGTGAGCTGATTTTGGCTGTTCCTAGAATGTGTGAGCCTCTTCTTTGTGGGCCTCTGGGACTCTAAGACGTGGCAGGGCCAAGTCCGCCCACAGACCGGCCTCAGGAGCATGCCGAGGCGCACAGCCTCTGCCCTGCCGTCTCTCGGTTCCCAGTCCCCTCAGGCGCGATGTGGGAGGCCTCTTGGGCTTGGATAGGGCCCGAGGAGGGCGGACCTCACAGGGTGTGCCGTTCCTTAGGGAGGTGCCCTGAGGCCTGGAGCACCATCTTCAGTGCCTGGGCATCTGGGCCAAGGCTGGCCACCTGGGAGCGCTCCTCCTTGGGGCTGGTGCTCAGGGCGGTCCCCTTTCCTGGAAATCGCTCAGCACAGGTGGGGGCTGACCGCTGGACTCCATGCCTCGGGCTGCTGTCCACTCGGTGGGAGTTCCAGGAACAGGCCCCGAGGAGGGATTTGCTCAGGGCTTTGTGTCTGCTTGCAGTCCACAGCTTCTCAGCCCAGGCCATGCTAGAGAATGGCGAGCATTGCCAGAAAGAAGCGGGCGCCACTGCCCAGAGGACGGCGTGGGAGACAGATGCCAGGTCAGTGGACACAGACGACTTCGAGAGCAGGAGCCCCGGCGCACGCCCCCTGACAGCGCTGGACCTGAGCCCAGGAGGCTGGGGGCCTCCTCACCCACACCAGGACAGCCGGGTTGGAGGCGCGGAGTCCTGAGCCTGCCAGCAGGTGCACCCTCAACCCTCAGTTTGCTGAGCTGCATGCCTCGACCCTCAGGGCCCTGACTGGGCCGGAGAGGAGGTGAGGGCGGAAGGATAGCCGCCCTCCTGTGTACAGGACTGGCCGCGGGGACTGCTTGCCCCCGCCTCCATAGGAGCCCTTGACCCCAGTGGCTCCTTCCAGGAACGTCCGCTCCGTCTTCATCTTCTCTCACGTTCCCCCAGAACAAGGCCTTGGATACCAGACATCTCCCGACTTGAGGGCAGCAACTTGTGTCTGCCTGAACAAGTTGTTTTGAAGCAGGCACCTCCGTCCAGAGGCCAGTATTTTTGCCCCAGCTTTGCCTCAGTGGCCCTTAGTAAAATACTTATTTCTCGGGATCTGTGCTTCCTGTTTTATAAAGCGTAACACTCTAATACCTGCCCCACTCACTTCTCTGGGCTGGGGCGAGGCCGGGCTAAAACCAGGGATAGGAAAGGCTGGTGCAGTGGCTCAAGCCTGTCATCCCAGCACTTGGGGGGCTGAGGTGAGAGGATTGCCTGAGCCCAGGGTTCGAGACCAGCCCGGGCAACGTGGCCAGAACTCGTCTCTGCAATAAATAAAAAATTAGCCGGGAGTGGTGCATGCCTGTGGTTCCAGCGACTTGGAAGGCTGAGGCAGAAGGATCGCCGGAGCCCAGCAGGTCGAGGCTGCGGTGGCCATGAGTGCGCCACTGCACTCCAGCCTGGGCCACAGAGTGAGGCGCCAACTCAAAACCCAAAAAACGAGGAACGGGAACATGTGCTGAGTCCCAACTTAGACAAACGCCTTTCTTGCCCTGCTGTCCCCTCTCCGAGCCAGAGGCCTGCCTTTGCCTGCTCCCCAGAGAGCCTTTCCAGTGCGTGCCCAGAACCGCCCTGTCAGCACCAGGCCCCAGCCGGGCAGCCAGGGATGCAGGAGCACTTGTCTACAGAAGGCGGAGGGCTGACCCACGAGGCAGAGGGCAGAGGTCCTGGCCGGGTGGCCTTGCCGATGGGGGCCGGGCAGCCCTTAGCGAGGAGAGGGCAGGGCTGGCGTTCCTTGGAGAGGAAGGTTTCTGAGCCGGGTCTTGGGACAGGCGAGAGTCAGGGAAAGGCTGATGGGAAGCGCAGGCTAGATAAGACAGCACCGCCCCCGGGAGGACCTGGAGGTGGGAACAAGCAGGCTGCGGCCTTGTCCACCGCACTGCGCCTCCTCGGGGGTCCTGGCACGTCATGGAGCGTCTTCTTCCTCCGGCGTCAGGCCGTCTTGTCCTTCCAATGACGGGAGGGCTGGCATGGCTTCTGAGTTGCCCCTTGTTGCACCTGTGACGTGGGAGCCCAGGATTCCTTCTCTGAGCAAAGCCTGGGTTCACCAGCTCACATCCCTCCCCCCATCCCCCTCCTTTTTCTATTATGGAACAGAGTACCTGGAGAACAGCCTGACAGCCACTAAAGCCAGCTAACAACATTAGCATATTATAAAGCAAACACCTCGGGACCCTGACTCAGATCAGAAGCCCTGCAAGTGCCCACTCCTGGTCCGGGTCCCCTCCGCCAAGGTCACCAGCGTGCCTTCTTTGATGGCATGTATTCCCTTACTTGTGAACGATGCTGCCTGCTTTTGGGGTGCGGCTTCTTTCGCTCAGTGTTACGTTTACAGGACTAGCCACAGACTTGCAAGTACTGGAGTTTTTACCCCCATATAGCGTTCGGTTGTTGTGATGTCACAATCTGTGTGTCCTTTTCACCGTCAGGAGACACACAGGGCACTTCTAGTGTGCGACAATCGCAATGTTGTAATGTTGCTATAACAATGATAATGTACCTCTGGGTTCACGTGTACAAATGAACATCTGTTGGCTGAACACACTTAATATTGAAGTGCCTGACGCCCTAGGGCTCTGCGTGTCTTTGACTTCAGCAGGTGATGCTGAAGTAAGTGGCTGCGCCAGTCTCCTCCTCGTCCGGGAGCACAGGAGACTTCCTACTGGCCCGGGCGCTGGCGATCTCCACCCGAGCGGCATCTTAGATGTGTAGCCGTTTTTGTGTATACAGTGAATCGTCTTGTGTGTCTCTGAGTAGTATAAGATTAAGATGCTTTTCTCCATTTGTTTCTGGCTGTCTGGATGTAAAATGCCTGTTTAGAGCCCGTGTCCACTTCTTTGGAGAGTCATTTCGGCTTTGGGGCTTTTAAAGAAATGGTTGGAGGAAGGGTTTTATCTCCCTATTTTTGTTTCATTTCGTGTATTTACTTACTTATCAAATTCACAAGCAGGACTGACCGTGTGCCGGTCACTGACCTAAATTGTATACATATGGATGTATATATTTACTCCTTAGAACGACGTGATGTGATCTGTAACATTGTTCTTCCTCGCTTTGCAAACGAGAAAAGTGAGGCACAGAAGGGTTAAGTAACCTGTCCACAGTCGCACAGCAGGTGAGGGAGCCAGTATTCAAATCCGGGGAGTTTGTCTTGTTTAGCTCCATCAATGCCTTGGTGAAAGAGGGGACCCCCAAAAGCCGGAAGTGTCCTTTGGAGGGCGGACCCTTTGTAGCACGTTTGCAATTTGTGTCTCTGGATCAAATGGCTAACCAGAGTTTTTATCTGGAATTTTTGAGACGGCGGCATCGCGATTTTCAGAAGAAACGTCCCAAGCTGTGGCACACAGGTGACCGGTTCTTCCACCATGATGACACACCTGCCCACACCATGCTGCGTGTTCGGCGGTTTGGACCGAAAGTGGCAAGATGCCCATGCCCCGCCCTCCCTGTTCACCCAGTCATGCCATGAGCCCCTTTTTTGTGTCTCCCCAGATGAAAAAAGTCCTCAGCGGGAAGCGTTTTGCCACTGGGGAAGAGGTGAGACAAGAAACGGCGGAAGCACTCAAAGGCGTCCAAACTGGTGAGTTCAGAAACCGTTTTGAGCAGTGGAAAAAGCGTCTCGATCGGTGTCTCGCACCCCACAGAGAAGACTTTGAAGGTGAGGGAGGTGTAAGCACGTAAGAATAAATACACAGTTTTTTGAGACATAACTTCCGTCTTTCTGGGTCCCCCCTTGGACATTTCAGAATCTGTTGGGCTCCAAAACCAGAAGCGCACGGAGTCGCTGAACCGGGTCACTTTCGTTCATGGATTAGGTTCCTCAACAGCTTCAGAATCTTGGCTCTTCTGGTCCATGAAAATGACGCGTCTGTTGGTTTAGATTCACTTTATTTGATGCCCGCGGTGAGTTTCGGTGCCCTGTGTCTGGGTGCTGTAGGGCTTCTGTTAGATTCCTGGCTGAGTGGTTTACTGCGGTTCATCGATGGCAGTGGATCTCCAAGTGTGGTCCCCTGAGAGGAAGCGCCAGCGTCACCCGGAACTGATGAGCCTGCGAAACGCATTGAGCCCCACCCAGACCTGCTGAACCAGAAGTGGGGTGGGGCCTAAAGAGCCTGTCTTGTGTTGCAGTCCCAGCGCCAAGCTCCACAAGGATGCACATGGCCTTTGCCCTGATAGGCCTCCTGAAATTGACTGATCTGTGTGTGAATGATTCCGATTGTGCCCGGCATCTGCAATTAACCCCAGCCTGTGTCTTCCTTCCCTTCTTCCCGCTCCTTTCCATGTTCTATTTCTTTTTCTTGCCCTTCTGCAGTGGTTACAGATTCTAGTAAAAGGGTGACCAGAGTGATACTCAGCCTTTTGCTGAGCTCAGATGTGGCCATCTTAAGTATGATTTTTGCTGTAGTTTTATTTTTTCTTCTTTTTGAGTCTGAGTCACACTCCGTCACCCAGGCTGGAGGGCAGTGGCACGCTCACAGCCACCCCATTGCCGACCTGCTGGGCTCCAGCGGTCCTTCCGCCTCAGCCTTCCAAGTAGCCAGAACTACAGGCACACGCTACCACACCCAGCTAATTTTTTGATATATTGTAGACACGAGGTCTCACCAAGTTGCCCAGGCTAATCTCGAGTCCCTGGGGTCAGGCAATCCTCTTGCCTCGGCCTCCCAAAGTGTTGGGATTACTGGCTTGAGCCACTGCGCCCAGCCTGCTGTAGATCTTTTTAAAGGTATCTTATCAGATTAAGGAAGCTCATTTAAATTTCCAATTTACTAAGGGACTTTTAAATTTTTTTTAATTTATTTATATTTTTTATCTCTTCTTATCCATTAGCAGACTAAGGAACTTTTTTGAAAAATCATGAATGGATGCTAAAATTTATCACATGATTTTTCTGCCTTTTACTGAGATAATCATATTTTTCTCATTTGGTGAGTTATACTGACATTTGAATATTAAACCAGGTTTGCATTCCAGGAATGACCCCAAA